TGATGACTGGTGTCATTCAGTCTCATCTTTACAGCACAATGAAAGAAAAAAAGAAAGGCAAGAGGCAACATGGGAAGTAAGAATGAAGCGGAAAAAACCCACAGCGAGTCTTTAATTTAACAAGGCTTTCAGGGACTTCAGGGAGCCATGAGCGTTGTGACATAACTGTTGTTAAAAAACCCTTTTCCAGAATCTCGTTATTATATGCATGCCAGAAGCTTACATATTTTACTTCACTAAAGTTATCCTCACAGGGCTGTGTACCACACGATTGGTTTGGAACACCAGTGCTGAAGGTTGAAGGCTTTTAGGGCAGGCCGACCTAAGGGAAAAATCGAAACCAAAAGATGGGATTAACACTGAAAAGCTCGGTTGGGTTGAGATCGACCCCCCTGGAAGTTCAGCTTAGATTGATTTAAAATCAGTTAACAGGGCCTGTAGTTTATTTTGCAGCCCTGAGGACTTCTAGAACCACATGAGTCTTTGACTTTGAAAATGCCTCACCTCCCATACCCCCTTCAGCCTTGGTTGATTCATTTTCTAGTAGGTACTCTTCCTAGCAATGTAGTGCCCTTTCCAGAGATTGATTCCCAGATCAACTTTTCTTGCACGGACCGGCTCTCCACAAATGATGCCCCATCGTTTGAAAGAACTACTGGCTGAGAGAAAATCCTTTGCCAGAGGGATGAAATAATTATTTTTTAAACTAACGGACTTTAATTTTCCAGTAAATTGCTCATAAAAACATTTATAATTATACCCTTTAAAAATGTAATAGAATAATTTTAGAAAATGCATTTGATGATAGTTATGATAACCTTTTCTGTTGCTTCCCCCTTATTTCTTAAAAAGAATTGAATTATTAATCTAGAATTCAAGTCTTGAGTGGCTGAAAACATTTATAGCAGACTCTTTTTATGTTAGTCACCTGCTGGAATTTTCCAAAACCTACTGGCATTATGAGGAGCCCTGGGCTTTAGAAAATGTCTCTATTTCTGAAACTGAAGCATGGAGACTGTACTGAAGCCCCCTAGTGAAGAGACCCTTCAGCTTTTTCAAGGCAGCAGAGGTAAGGGACATAGCACACGTTCCTGGTTCTACACTGGACTCCTAAAGCGGGATGCAGGGAAGTATGAGCATATTTTAATTGAAATAGTTGTGCCTGTGGATGAAAATGTTCCCAGGATTTTTGGTGACAGCTGAATCGCTTTTGGAAGCAAACTGACCGATGTCCGAAGCTAACCTTTGGAATGTGAGACGAATGCATGGGTTCTTTTTCTCGGACCATACTCTTGCCACCTCTGAGTTAAGAGGCAGGTTTTTCTCTAGATTTTCCCATTTTTGCATTTAGGAACTTGTGTAATTTTGGAAGGACAGACTGAGTTGGATGTTATTGAAAATTCTGTTTGTGTGGTATGGTCTTGTAAAGCATAAGCCACTTTTTCTGAGCTTAGTCTTCCTTTCCCCTCCATCTTCCTAGTCTACTTGATGATTTGTGCTTCTTAGCTTACATATGTACTTCTGTGTCTGTGGAAGCAAAATACGTAACTACCTTTCAGGTGTCTGGAGAAAGAGTGACTGCCTCGTGTGCAAACAAATATATAGAGAGAGAAAATGTAGCTCTCCTAGTATGACACATCCTGCCGTTCACCCTCTTTGTCTTCCATTAGCCAATGTGCAAGGACTTTGAGGTAGACACAATCTACTTCCTCATGCAGTTTACTGACCCATTCATCCCAGATTAGTGATAAATTCTTCCAGAGCAAGGAGAGAGTCTTTTTTGAAAGGCCTTCAGGTGTTGAAGTGAACACTAACCTAGAATGTGGAATACCTTTCTGAATACGAAGATTGTCTCCTTGCTCAGAATTTAGGAGCATTCTCTCTCTTTCTCTCTCTTTTTCTCTTATTCTCCTTTTTATCCTTTTTTAATATTTTGTGTTTGGGGGATAGGGGGTATCTAATTCATAATAGGAAGTATTGGTTTAGGAGTGAGCTGTTAAATTTTTCACGCATCTTTTTAGGCTGTAGGTAAAAAAAAAAAAAAATTGTATCATTTTTTAATTGATGCTTCAAAAAAACCCCAGAAAATAGGTGTTTGAGTGTTCATTTACATACAGTAAACCATGATTTTTCTTTAAGGATACCAAGTGATAAATGGATTTTTCTAACAGTAGATTAACCCAAAGTATTTTTTCTCTTTTCCTTACTGAATATGTTTTTTAAATGTGCTGGTCCCCTTTCTTACCCTGGAAAGAACATTGAGAATGTAATTGAATCTTTCTTTGGGGCTTGAGAATCTTATGGTGCCACAGGGTCACTGTGCTGAGTATGAGTTCTGATTGTACATTACAGAACTGTAAATGGAGACAGTGTCAGAGATTGGACTAAATCTGTCTTGATCCCATCTTGGAAATTGTTTTCTTTTTTTCTTTTGTTAAATCCTCCATATCAGTATGTTTTGTTATTTGCCTCACTTGTTCTCTAAGTTATGTGTAGCAAAATAGAAATTCGATTAGTTGATTCTGGTTAATTGAGGTTTTTACTTTACAGGAAAATTTCACCCAGAGTCTAGAGTCTTTTTAATTCTTTCTCTAGAGTAATAGAGGATGTAAAAACATTCTTGAATCTTTAGAAAGGCTATTGTATCCATAAATAAGTTATGTATTTACTGTATTACAATAATAAAATGTTAGTTTTCCTCTATGTAATGTTAGATAGAAACTCTAGTTAATTTTGCCTCTTCCTTAGGTATGTTGAAGGGGTATCTTTGGTAGAGGGTTTATATATCCTGAAACTCTAGGGTTAGAGGGAAGAACTCAAGAAAGTCAATAAAGAACATTTAGATTGCCCGAAAGGAAACTCTCTTTCCAAGCTTAGGCCTTTGTTCTCTGGACCAATGTGGAAAGCATGCCTGGAACCACATCATCAGAGGCTGACTTTCTCAGGATGTCCCAGTTGACTTAATGATACTGTGCAGTTAGTTGTCTTGTGATATCTTTGATGTTGTAGTGCTAGAAATTCAGCTTGGGAGTCTTGGTGTTCTTTTGTGACAGCCCAATTATTATTATTATTGTTATTCTTTCATTTTTTATTTTTTGCTTTTGCTGTAGAGACACCAAGGAGATTGTCTAAAGAAATCCATAGAAGAGAGGAATGGGGTGCAATGAGGAATAAATGCACCACAGCGCATGGTGTAGGCAGGCTGGTTGTTTGCTCCAGCTCTTGCATGCTAGTGCTAAAAGGCATTACAGGTAACAATTCCCTCGTGTTGGTGGAAGGACAATTTTTCTTCCTAATAGATTTTTATGTCCTTAACTGACATGTCATTATTACAAACTGTCTTATCACATTACATGCTATAGCATATTAATAGTGGTTTGGCAATGTGGTTTTCTGGTGCTTGTCTTCTCCACAGAACTGGGGCCCTGGTGGCGAGCTGGAGAGCCCTGTGCAGTGCTCACTGGCAACTGAGAGTACAGGTCTCCGACGCCCTTGAAGGTGCTGGAGGATTCCAGGCTGTCCCAGGTAGAGTTTCTAGACCAGAGGTTTCCCTGAAACTCTATCAGAGGTTGGAAATTAGTAGGAAACATTATAGTGTAGAGGATTTATAATCTCCCAGCCTTGAATCCTCTTAGTGATGTTATTGGGCATTTGTGTTTTGATTATGAACTGTCTTAGAGTTTTTTGAAAACAATTAGGAAGTTTCTACATCCGTGCATAGACCATAATAGATGAACTTGTCTGGGGTGTTAGGAAGGGTGCCACTTAGTATAGGATCCTCAAGCCAGCGAAAGAGGCAGTGCACTGTTAAAAATACCTAGCTTACTTCGGGGGAGGATTTGGCTGAATACTGATGAAGTTTATAAAATATGAATGTAGTGAAGTTGCTGTACGTAAGTGGTAGGCGTGTGTGAAAGAAGTAAGAAGAAATAAAATTGTGTATAAATGACACTCTGAAACTTGATGGAATTGTACACGTGGCAAGAGTGGTGATGTTTGGGTCTGGGCTTAATGGGGGAAAATAGGCTTAAAATCTATATGTTGAACTAGATGTAGGACTAAAATATAGAACATAAAATCATTTGACTTATTTTATTATTTTATTTTATTTTTTATGTTAACATTTACTTGTACATATTTGTGGGGTACAGTGTGTTGTTTTATTATGTGCATATACTGCACAATGATTCACTTAGGGTAGACAGCATAGTTTTGTACCCATTAGTCCACCACTTCTCCTCTTCCCCATGCCCCTCCTCTCCAGGCCTCTGTAACCATTATTCTACTCTCTGCTTCTATGAGAAACATTTCTTTTTTAGATTCCACATGAGTGATATCATGCAGTATTTGTCTTTTTGTGCCTGACTTAGATGGTGGTTTTCAGTTCCATCCATGTTGCCACAAATGATAGGATTTTATTTATTTTTTTAATAGGTGAATAGTATTCCATTGTGAATATGAACCACAGTTTCTTTTTCTCCATTCATCCATTGATGTGCATTTAGGTTGATCCCATCTCTTGGCTATCATGAGTAGTGCTGCAATGAACATGGGAGTGCAGGCGTCTTTTCGATATATTGATTTCTTTTCCTTTGGGTCTATACCCAGGAGTGGGATAACTGGGTTGTAAGGTAGATCCATTTTTAGAAAGAATGCTACCAGAGATAAACAGGCAGGTTGCAAAGAACGGAGGTAAAACAGAATGGGGGAAAAATGAGGGACCAATGTTTGAATCTATAATAAGGTATGGTAATCACTGTTTTAAGTATTCCACACTATTACCTTCTGTGCTTTTAGGTACAGAATTAGTTATAACCAAACAAAAGGAATAAATATGAATTTTAGGTTGTGCAGAGAAATCCTCTTGATCCCCAAAACATAAATGTATGTACTGAGAAGCCAAGCTGCACATAATGTAATTTTTTCTGTCTTATCCTTATTAATTGACAGCCAACTGTATGCTTCTTTCCTGAAGGTGACTTTACAATCTCTAGACCCAGACATTTCTCTCCGAAGTGGAGTGAAGGAAGGAGAACTACAAGCTAAAATGTGCTTCACTGGGTGAAGTATTTGGGGGGAAAGATAAGAACGGTGAAATAGAGGAATGGAATCGTGCATACAGAGATTAAGGATGCCTGTTTGGGTCTGGGGAGTGGGGGCTGTGGATGAAGGAAGGAAGTTTCTAGAGGGAAAAGAGACTTCTATGCAGAAGAAAATGAAATTAGCATTGACTCTGAAACGGCTGGGAATGTGACTTTCTAATTTTAAATTATCTTTAACAAGGGCAATGAAAGAGGAAAAGTTGACACTTTGAGAAGTTATGACGAACTTGTCGAGAATACCAATTGACAAAGGCAGGTAAGGGAATACTTGGAAAATCAGAACAAGAGCAGGTCTGAAGGGCACGTTGATCTGCTTCCTAGTGTGTTAAGGGAACTGGTGGGCGTGTTTATTGACTCTTCCAATTAGTTTTAAAGAAACCTGAAGAAATGGACAAAGATGGAGAAAAGGCAACCAGATGTGATTCTGTCTTTCCAGAAGCAGAGAGGCTTATGTCATGCCATATGATCGATGCCAGTCATGGGAGGAGTGCCTGTGTAGAAAAAATGGACTTTCAGCATCCAAAAACAGAGGAAACACGCGTATATTCAGCAAGTCTGAAACCTCTTAAATAAACAGCATTGCTTTTCATTTTCACTTTCCACTTATAAAAACAGCAGATGATGAAAAGGCCCTGTGACAATACAATACAGCATGTACTCCCAGGAACATTAGTGACAGGGATATTATATCCGAAAGGACAGGGAAACTAGGAGGGTGAACTGCCCATAACTCTCAATTGTCCAGGTAATGAAGCATTGGGAAAGCAAAGGCAGATGAAATAATTTGACTATAAAAAATAATTCCTCTTTTAGTCATCTTATTAGTTGACTGATGATGACAAGTGTGAAATTGCCAGAGTTGTGTTTTATAATTTCTGGCACCTGTCACCCACTTTGGATGAGCACATGTGTGCAAAATGTGGGAGCCCGGGGGAATTTCTACAGACCAGGCTGTTAGCATGGAAGTTGTAAAATTTCCCAGTGGGAAGGGTGACAGTCGAAGATAAGTGAGGTTCTGCAGCTTTCTTTGAGGCCCCACAGAGGATCAGCAGGAGGACTGATGCTGCACTGAATGGAAGGGCTCTCGAACATTCTAAAGCTCAATTTTTACTCTTGAGTTTGGGTATGTGATGCTCATTCACAATGCTACCACTGTTCATATTTTATTAGACTAAAGTGGGTTAGAGTCACAAGGGGCCCTATGAATCATCTAGATCAGCCTCCCATTAAACTGACGCTCATAGAGGTCTCGTAATGTGTCTAAGATCATGTTCTTGGTAAGTAGTGGGGCTGTGACTAGAACCCAGGTCTTCTACTTCCTTGTCTGACATTCCTTCCACTGTGTGCTCTGCCAGAATCCTCGAAAGTTCCAGTAATGTACAAGGCCAAGTTCCTGCCCTGCAGGAAAACCACCTGAGGATATTAAGATATGTACACAATTTAATCTAGCATTTGGTAGTGGACATGTATGAAAGCGAGTGCAGATTATTTTGGCTATGCATCAGTAGTTGAACATTGTCAGTAATTGTATTTATTTTTTTTAATCCCACTGGGCACTTTTATTATTAATTAAAAATTTGCTAGTGAGCCTGTGGCTCTGTCAGTAAAGCCATTCTAAAGCATAGTGAAAAACAGTGCCTGAGTTTCAGGTTCTGACTTAGTGAAAAGTAAAATACCGGAGATGGAGTTGAGCATCTTGTACTCGGTGCTTACTGGAGCTAGACCCAGCCAGTGGCACAGTGAGCATGGGTGTCTCCACGGTGGCTGCTTTCCTCAAAGCAGAGGGCTTTAGGCTGTGCCTTATATATAGATGCTCAAGAGCAAGTCTGTGAATGGAATACTACATAGCCATTACAAATCATGTTGCAGCAGAAAAAGTATTTCATAACAGAAGAGTGTTTATGATCTGTTGCTAAGTGAAAAGTAACAGCTTTCACTGCAATGTGCACAGAATGACATCATTTTTGTACATAATTATAGTGTGTGTATATATATGAAATATAATCATATCAACAAATTAACTCAGATCCACATATACCAAAGTGATGAAATGATAAAGCAGTCATCTGTGGGTGGTGAGATTATCTGTGAGTTTCTTTTTCTTTGTGCTTATCTGTATTTTCTGAATTTCTTGCATTGTGTATGTATCACTTTTGTAATAAGAAAAAAATAAATTTTTTTTTCCAAAAAAAAGATTGTGTGTTGTGAACCTGGGGGTGCTTTGAAGGTACTAATTCTGGACTTAGCATGTTACACAGAGTTTCTTGATGTTTCAGGATGCACCAAGTTTACTGGCCCAAGGAACAATGCCTTTTGACAATCTTATTCAGCCAGGAAAACAGGGATCATTCAGCTTGAATATAAAAAGGAGTATTCTAATATTGGAACTTCTTGCCCCTCTAGAGTGACATCTTTGAAACATTTATACTGTGATCCGCAGTGAGAAAAGCATATAACGTAAGCCAGTACATAACACACACCACACACACACATATGCACACATGCACAAATGAACTTTTCACAGATAATATTTATTCTTTACTTTCGACACACTGTTCTATTTGCTCTATTATTTAAAATAGAGGTCACGAGCCACCAGATTGATTTCATGATCTGTTTATGGGCTGCTCCTTAAAATTTGAGAGATCTTGTCTTGGGCATAAGGTAGACCGTGGGGAACATGGCCTGGCAGTGAGAGGAAGGGAAGGAGTGTTTCCACAGTAACTGATGTTGAACTCCAGGTGCTTCTCATTTTGATTTCAGGGAGGAAAAGTAATATAAATACTTATTATTTATAATCATACAGTATCTTTATGCCACTTTTAGCATATGCTCATTAATATCCTATTACATTTAGATATGCATCTGCCTAGACTAGCTTAGAATATGCATTCTAAGATCCCCCTTTGCTTGGAGTTGATGTCACTGTGTAAGAGCCCAAGGGTGGCATTGTTTTCATTCAACAAATATGTACTGAGCACTTTCTATGTGCCAGGCACTGTGCTAGGGTCTGGGCTTAAGGCAACAGACAAGAGAAGAGTAGATCCCTGCCTTCCTGGATCTTACATTCTACTGGTGGCATATCTCAATGTAGACCACTCTCTGGGTCACCTTGAACCAGACACTTCAGATGGTTCTCCTCTAAATGTGTTTGGAACTTGGCCTTTTTTTTTTTTTTTGTCTTTTGTCTTTTTTCCGTGTCCGGCAACGGATCGCAACCCTCAGTTTTGCGCCCGTACTGGTCCGGGGCCCGGCATCGGGATTGCAACCCACGGTGTTGCTCCC